ACCACTTTATATACTGTTTATAGTGCTTTTACAGCCCTCTCTAAGCAGTTTACAGAGTCAGCATATTGCCCCCAACAATTTGGGTCCTCATTTTACCCAGCTCAAAAGGATAGGATAGAATAGAATTGGAGGTCTTCTAGTCCAACCCCCTGCTTAGGCAGGAAACCCTACACCACTTCAGACAAACGGTTATCCAACATCTTCTTAAAAACTTCCAGTATTGGAGCATTCACAATTTCTGAAGACAAGTTGTTCCACTGATTAATTGTCCTGTCAGGAAATTTCTTCTCAGTTCTAAGCTGCTTCTCTCCTTGATTAGTTTCTACCCATTGCTTCTTGTTCTACCTTCAGGTGCTTTGGAGAATAGTTTGACTCCCTCTTCTTTGGGGCAAACCCTGAGACACTGGAACACTGTTATCATGTCTCCCCTAGTCCTTCTTTTCATTAAACTAGACATACCAAGTTCCTGCAAACATTCTTCATATGTTTTGGCCTCCAGTCCCCTAATCAACTTTGTTGCTCTTCTCTGCACTCTTTCTAGAGTCTCCACATCTTTTTTGCATCGTGGCAACCAAAACCAAATGCAGTATTCCAAGTGTGGCTTTACCAAGGCATTATAAAGTGGTATTAGGAAGACTGAGTCAACCTTGAGCCTGGTGGGAATTGAACTGCCAAATTGCAGGCAGCTGGCAGTCAGCAGAAGTAGCCTGCACTACTGCACTGCACCACCATGGCTCATAAATAGGATTATTTCATGTAGCACACCATATATGCAGACAATTATGCACTGAATCAGAGGAAACCTGTTCCAATCACTTAGCATATGTAGCCTGAATCTTTGTTTAGACAGGCAGATACTTTCTTAAGTATCTTAATTTCTTACTTACTTTCTGCTTATTTCTTACTTACTTTCTTGTTCTGGATTCACAAATGAAAATCAGAATTCTATTTTTGCCAGCTGCAGCCACTTGAGCCTAAACTGCTGATGAGCCCAGATTAGTGGGGAAGTTAGACTTTTTCTAAATGAAACGTTTCCTAGCTGCCTGAGTGTTTCTAATGTCACCGTAGTAACTCAGATAAATGCAAATGACATAAGGAAAATAAATATATCACTAGCACCACCCTTTGGCACACCAGAATTTTAAAAGGATTGGATCGATGGGCAAAGGAAATATCACACTCTTAAGCTACTAAGAAATTGCCCTAAATCCAATATAGAGGAAATAACAGTTGAACTACTGGAGACTCATTATTTCTCTCCCAGGGACATCTGCAGAAGGAGTGGCATCCCAAAAATCAAGATGATGGTTATAACCATGTCCTGTAAATCCCATCTCTTTTGCAACGCAAGGTAAACCCAGTTGTAGTTGTCATCTGTCTTTCTTGTCTTTCTAATTCCCTGCTCCCTTTCCTAATTGACATTCTGCTGGGTGTGTCTTACAGGCTATCTTGTTCCAAAGATGCTTTTTCCAGAAGGCAACTGGACTTTCTTGGTTTTTTTCTCCTTTGAGAAAAACGTTTTGCTTCTCATCTAAGAAGCTTCTTCTATTCTGAACTGAAAAACTGAAGAAGCTTCTTCAATGAGAAGTGAAATGTTTTCAAAGACAAAAAAATACCTATAAAAAAAGTCAGTTGCTTTTGGAAAAAAGCACCTTTGGGACAACTACAGGTAGTCCTTGACTTACAACCGCAACTGAGCCCAAAATTTTATGTTGCTAAGCAGGACATTTGTTAAGCAAGTTTTGCCCCTATCTTACAACCTTTCTTGCCACAATTGTTAAGTGAATCGCTGCAGTTGTTAAGTTAGCAACACTGTTCTTAAGTGAATCTGGCATCCCCAATTGACTTTGCTTTGTCAGAAGGTCACAAAAGGCAATCATGTGACCCGGGACACTGCAACTGTCATAAATATGAGTCAGCTGCCAAGCATTTTAATTTTGATCACATGCATCTTGGAGAGGCTGCAAATTTCGTAAGTGTGAAAAACTTAATGTCACTTTTTCCAGTACCGTTTAACTTTGAACAGTAAATGAACTGTTGTAAGTCAAGGACCATCTATATGACCTGGATGATTGAGAAGCTCCATACATACTGGGTGTCTTGGACAAAAGGAGTCATACTCATGTTTCTCCCTTACCGTAATTCCAAAACAGAGACGATATGCTCTTCGGTCAAATCTTTTTGCACCAATCCAGAATGGTGGTTGGTTTTTATATTCTATTCTCTTAATGGGCTTTATGTCATAGGAGCCTGGTCCTGTTTGGAACTAGGAAAAAGAACAGGCAATTATTTTCTGTTATTGACTGGTATGCTCATCATCCTCATTAAACACACATGACAGAAAAACATCCCAGAGAAGATTTGCTTGCCAGTTGGCCCCATTCTTCTTCTTTCCACAGCTGCCTAGCAAATATAATTCTGGGCCTCCTTTAATGTTTTCTGCTGAGAGAAACTATTTTGATACTTTGAAAAGAAGAAAAAAGAGAAATACATTCTTTAAAAAACAAACAAATTGTACATCATTTTGTTCCCATCCACATTGGTAATGGAAGAAGAAAATCAATACTGGATTGCTGCTGAAGAAGCCAAGGAAAATAACCTACTTGTTCATGTTGAAACATGCCAATTTTGGACCAGAAGATCCGTTCAGTTGGGTATTCAGGATCCCGTGAAAATTTACTAAAAACACCATGTTTCTTTTTCTCCCTTGTCTCCAGTTCATCCAGGAAGGATTTGATATTGCAACCAGACAGCTCAGACGTTTTTCTCTGCCATGATTAAATAAGAGGAAATATTGTTTTAGAAATTAAAAGAAGCAGGTGGAGCCTCCTGCCACCATTACTATTGGTTCACCCGCTCCGGGCTGAACTGGGAGCAACCCACCTCTGGTGTGCATTCATTTAGCAATCTGTGAACAATTAACCCAAGACAAAACTGCATCAAATCAAAACACTCATTTCAAAGGAATGTGTCTACTATGGGAAAATATAATATAGATAACAACTCCCAGTGTAATTGGAATCCTGTAAGAAACAAATGACGAGGCTCAAATTATCCTGCTTTGGATATATTGTGTAAAGACTCTAACTTCTAGAGAAGGCTCTAATGCTGGAAAAAAAATTGAAGGAAAGAGAAAATGATGACCAGCAACAAGGTGGATGGGTTCAGTTATGGTGGCGATGGGGGCACCTAAAGGACCAAGTTAGGGACCGACCTCCATGGAGAAAATGTATCTATGTGGTCATAAGAGTCAATATCAACTTAATGGCACATAATCAAATACATTAATCTATGATACATAATAGTAGTTTTTGTAGAATCTATGGTTTCAGTGTTCAGATAACTTATTTATAGGACCAAAGCTTTTCATATATTTAGAATTATTTTAAATTAAGTTGGAATCAATCCAATTGAACAACTGCAAAATCAAGACTTTGGGTAGACTAAGTCTACCAAAGCCCACTGATCTAAACTAAGTATCAGAAATGAAACCACTGCTCCTGCTGCTAATGTTATTATTGTTAGTATTAGTATTATTATGTGGTTAATATTTGGTGAGATTCACAGCCTTTGTGGCTGGTTGGTAGCTCAACAACTCGAGTCCTAACTGTTATGGTAACGTTGGAGGATATAAGTTTGTTCCAAATAGGGTGGTTTTTTGTAGAGTCAGAATGTTCAAGTCAGGTGAATTTAGAATTTTCAAATAGCGAGGTAGCCCTTTAGGTATTGCTCCAAGGGCTCCAATTACAATTGGGACAACACACACTTTCTTTTTCCACAGTCGTTCAACTTCAATTTGCAAGTCCTGGTACTTTGTGATTTTTTCTTGCTGTTTATCTTCAATTGTGCATCTCCAGGTATAGCAATGTCAATGAACCATACNTTCTCAATAAGGGTGGAGATAGCATCCATGCATGGGTTGACACTGTCCGTGCTCTGATTGGACTGAGTCTGATTACTAATTAATTAACCCCTATATAACCCGCCTCCATGAGTGGTACCGCCCAGTTTCCGACTCAGTCCACTCTGGGACGGTCATGTTATCCTTTCCATCTCTGATATATATTGCTACGAACCTGATTAATTCGAAATTTCTGCTTTCATTGACTGTGAGTACTGCCAGATTCAGGGCTTTGAAGCTTGACTGCCGGCAAGGCTGCTAATTGCAGGCACATGCGAAGTTCTCCCTCACTCTGGCTGGGAACTAATTTTTCCCCACGCTGCTCAATTCGCCACAATGGCAAATAATTTGCTGCTGCGAACTGAGGCAATTATCTCCTGGGCCCTAGCAGCCTCCGGAGTTGGGGAAGAAGTCCTTTTGCCTCTTCAGGAGGTGTCCCTACAATTCCTTACCTGGAAGGTAGCATTCCTGGTGACCATGACATCAACAAGATGTATATCTGAACTGCATGCCTTGTCAATGCGGGAGGACCTCTGTAGGTTCCATGCAGATGGGGTGGTCCTTAGACTGGATCCCTCCTTTATGCCGAAAGTTGCTTTTTGGTTCCATCACACACAGGAGGTAGTGTTACCAAATTTTTGTCCCTCACCCAGGCATGAATTGGAACATTGGTGCACAATTTAGATGTGTGTCGGGTGCTGCAAATTTACATTGATCACATGGTGGAATCTAGATAATCAGAGGCCCTTTTTATTTCGTTCCAGTCTTCTTCCCTTGCCAAAAGGTCTCGGTGGCTACCATTGGTAGGTGGGTCAGACGTTATATTGCAGCAGCGTACGATTCATGCCAGGAGAGGGTGCCAGGAGGGGTGACGGCCCGTTCTACAAGAAGTGCAGCCAACACGATGATGTGGGCGACACAGGCTTCCCTGGATGAAATTTGCAGGGCAGCTGCGTGGACCTCTCCATCCCCTTTCATCCACAATTACAAACTTGATAAGTTTGCATCTGCAGATGCTTCCTTTGGCAGGTGGGTTTTGCAGGCCGTTTGGTCAGGCGGGTCAGTTTTGGAACAGTCTATCAACCACCCTTGAGGACTGTATGGCTTGGGTATGTCCCATGCATGGATGCTATCTACGGCCTTATTGAGAAAGGGTGTTGGTAACTTACCTGATACGCCTCTTCTAATAGGATGGAGATAGCATCCAGCCCCAGCCCGAGATTTGACTGTTCCTTGTCTCTGTGGAGCTGGTTTTTTTTTGTTGTTGTCTGTTTTGAAAGTTTTATCTCGACAGGTTGGTGATGTTGCCTTGTATACCTTTTTCTATGAATCACTAAACTTAAAAATTATTTGGATAACAGGTGGAGTCTGTCTTTTTTTTCTCTTCGCTGGAAACTGGGTGATACCACTCATGGAGGTGGGTTATATAACTTAATGACCTCTCCTAATGACCTCAGTTTATAAGTGAACAGAGCTTTGACTTCGCTCAATGTAAAGGATGGCTAGTCTAATCCAGTGGTGGGTTTTCGTTTTTTTTACTACCCATTTGCTTGGTCACTCGCGCAACATTTCTGCAGATGTGCAGAAGCATCTGGGTGGGTGGCCGGAGCCTCCTGCCACTGCCACTATTGGTTTGTCCAATCCAGGCCGAACCTCCAGAAACCACCTCTGGTCTAATCACAAAAAGAAGAAACATTGGATGTAAGGCAGGGGTGGGCTGCAGCAGAGACTACTGCTGGTCTTATTTTTTGGGAAACAGGATACATAGAAAACAATTAGATATCAAGGTCAGGCATGCAAATTAAAAAAAAAAATTCCAAAACTGATGGAAGCTTGGGGATTTAAAAAAATGATTTGTCATTCTTATCATGTTTCACTTACTGTAAACACTTGTCCCTTTCCAAGTTACTAAGATAACGTTGTGTTTCATTCATATAAAGGGAACGGTATCTCAACTTCTTTGAATGTTTCTCATGCTTTGTGGTGTCATAGCGCCCAACACCGACAGGATTCTGTAAAATAGAGCATTGTGGATATAGTGAGTGCTTAAATCTTCCTGGTTGCCCACTTCAAAGCAAGGCCATGGCAAATTGCTCCTATATTGTTGTCAAAAAACCCCACATGGATTTCTCTGAAGTTGAAGAAGAAGAAGGAAGAATTCTAGGGCCCAGCTAATGAAACAAACAAAATGTTAAAAAGTTATGATATTTATGTACTTACATATCAAGCACATCTAAATTATAGTAAAGTCATCAAAATATCTTTACAATCGCCATGGCATGTCACAACTTTTTTTTTTAATTATTTTTATTTTTTGTTACACAGACAACAATGGGAAAGGGAGAGGATGGAAAAAAAGGGGGGGGAGGGGAAACCCATCTTCACATACAATATGTCGTTTGTAAAGATATTTTGATGACTTTACTATAATTTAGATGTGCTTGATATGTAAGTACATAAATATCATAACTTTTTAACATTTTGTT